ATTCCACATATAAGTGAGCTTATACAGTATTTGTCTTTCTTTTTGGCTGCCTGACTGACTTAACTTAGCTCAATTTTTAATGGCTCAATTCTCTCTGTGTCTGTCCCTCCCTCACATACACAAACCCCTCATCACTGATGTACACTCAGATTTCTTCTATATCTTGGCTATTTTATAATGCTGCAATGAACATGGGGGAGGGTGCAGACATGATTTCTGAGTTAGTATTTTCATTTTCATAGGGAAAATCACCACAAGTAGAACTGCTGGATCATATGAAGTAGTTTTCTTTTTAATTTTTGAGGAACCTACACACTATTTTCCATAGTGGCTCTACCGGTTTGTTTTCCCACCTACAGTGTTCAACTGTTCCCTTTTTCTACATCCTTGCCAGCACCTGTTTTTGCTCATCTTTCTGGTAACAGCCATCACAGGTGTAAGGAGACATCTCATTGTGGTTTGAATTTCCTGGATAATTAATAATGTTGAGCACCTTTTCTTATATCTATTGGCCATTTATATGTCTTACTTTCCTTATTTCCTCTTTCTCCCCAATCTAACTATACACCACTCCTTATTTTTAGAATGACTAAATTTCTGCAAGGAATAGACTGGTTACAATAGTCCTTGTGTATTTTCAAAATTTCAGAGCTAAATATTTAGAGAAAACAAGGTTTGAAAACTGTAGGTTCAGGCCAATTCTTGCTTCATTAATTACTGACCGTCCAGGTTTTAATCAGAATTATTTTCCTTTCTTTTTACTGGATAACTTGCCATCATAAGTAACCTAGCTGAAACAGAGCAAGGGTTTTTTATTCAGTGAGTTTTACTAGTACAAAGCATTTTATAACCATATTCTCAACTGTTCTTACTTAATATTCCTGCCAACTCTTAAGTATTTACTCTCTTGTGGTCTCTAGAATTTGAAGCCTGATGAGACTGGAAACAGTGGGGCAGGTTCTACCTGTCCTACTTTACGAGGTACCAGAGAACCAAGTGACTTCTATGTGCCCACCACAGCTGCTTTGGCAGTCACCTTCTGGAAGCTATGAACACCCTAAGGTGTACAACCATCATGTGCCTTCTCCCAGTGAGCTCTTCTGCTCTAGCTATGTGCATTCGCTTCCAAATACTCATAGCACCAGAGAGAAACACCTTAGAACCATGAAAGCGAACATTTGCTACTTTTCAGTCCTGAGCTTTGGGTAGTCTTTCCCCCATGTGGTATTTTATTGTAACAACAGCACCGACTCCCATCATGCCCTTGACAGTATACACCTACACTTATTTAAAGGCAGAGAATCTCATTTGTTGACATGTAATTCTTAACGCGTGCTTACTTTAAGAATGGAATTATCCTGTCTTGTATTTTTGGTATCATAGCCTTCCAGTAAACAGCGACGAGTGGTATTTCTTGATCCAGCAAACTCTGCCAGGTTTAGATCTGCAAAGCCCAACTATGAAAAGAAAGAGACTTATATAAATAGACTATTTACCAGGCTTCCACCATATTTTCCTTAAAATAAACATTCAACCCACATATTAGGCAAGTTTTCTCAAGTTTCATTTGTAACTTTTGCCATTTTTTTT